ATACATCTCATCCGCCCGACCGAAACTCGTCGAAATCCCGGCGCAAGCCGTAGAGGATAGCCGTAGAGATGAAGAGGTTAATTCCCTTATCTATCCACCGTTAACGGGTTAATTATCACGAATTACAAATCCTCCGGTATCTTCTTCCCTCGAAACCTGTTTCGAATCGGAAATCTCGTATCCGAACAGCGACACAGTTTCGCGACACGCGGTGTTCCGTGTCTATTCGCGCTAACTCCACCTCGCCACGCTCCTCCGGTTCTTCACCTACGCGAAAGCTTGCAGCGCGCACAACGCCCGTGCGCGCGCGCGCGCGTACTCGGCCACGTGCGTGCGATACGCGCACGCCGCCCACCGATCCCTCCGGCGTCGCACGGATCACTCCTCTGCTCTCCGTGCGTGTATTCGTGCGCGCGCGCGCGCGCGCTCATACATATTCATCGGCGAGCCGCGGTAATCTGCTTAACGTAGGTGCGAGGCGCGCGTCGGCCCTTCGATTCGTAACGTAGACGGATATCCGCGTTATCAAGTCGGTAGGTGGTGGTACAACATCGGCCGATATCCAGCCCCCGTCGTAGTTTGCCGATCGACGAGAGCCCGGTATAATTTCATTACGACGCGGGGATTCGGCCAAGCGTGAAAGGGCCACGTCCACGGGTCGTGACCTCGTTACGAGGAGAGGGAAAGGAACGTTTCCTACGGGATCGGGGATTTATTCGACTTTTTCCAGAGGATAAGTTTTCGAGAGAGAGAGAGAGTGAGATTAATTCGAAGACGATGGCTACAAGTTTCCAATTTCGTGGTGGATGAAAATGCAAATGTATTCGTAATGAAATCGTAATTTAAATTTTTAATAAATTCCGAATGAATTAAATTCGCGTTTATCAATGTATCTCGTATGTATATGTACATAAATTGGACGGAGTTTAATATATATATGTTCGAGTCCCGTTTAAAAGTTCGCCAACTTTCAGCCGAGGAAAAGTTGGCGAGATCGTTCGCCTCCTCTCTCCATATGGAACGAGGCACGGTGCGATACCGTGTACGGATCCCGAGGAGAGCTTTGAAACGAGCGATACACGTTATGGCGATCGCGATGCACGACGCCGGTTTGTTGCGCGTCGGTTCTCTCTGCCTATGCACGCTCGTTTCCTAGTATACTTTATCTCGACCGACTATCGGCATACGGCGTGCATTATAGCACGTGTACGGCTACGCTTAAAACCGAATACGCTTAAAACGAACCACGAGCGAAACCCACATCCACGAGGCAACGGCTGCCTGACGAAACGAAAATCGACCTTCCCTCCTATCATCGACACCTCCCAATTCCGCCTCGTATTCCATCCTGTGCGACGACAACGAGGGATCGCGTACAAATTTTCGAACGAGTTTTAAAAAATGATCGAATCGTAATAAATTTCGCTTTCCCTTTCTCGTCCCCCCTCTCCCTCCGTGGAGATTCGATTCGTTTCGAAGAGAAAAATGAAACGACGACGAACGAGGCGTAGTTCGATTTAATTAGAGCGAGTTCAACAAAGGAGTTCATTGATTTTTCTTTGCTCGATGACCAAATCTCCTCTCTCTCTCTCTCTGTCTCGCCTCTTTTCTTCGTACTTTCTTCGATACCATCGCTCTTCCGCACAAAACTACCGACAACGCCGATATCCTAGCTTTTTCACCCGAGCCAACTTCTGGATAATGTCAGCCTATTCTGAAAGACACTGTACGGGAGGACAAGGAACGCTTTCAGAGGCAAAGATGAAACGCAGAGAGTCAACGACAGATGATGTTTCTCCCTTGCATCGAGATCCACGCACCCTTTCTTCCTCCTCCTCCTCCTCCTTCTCCCATCCATCCATCCGTCCATCCTCCCTTCCTTTTCCCTCCACGCACTCTGCACTTTGCTCTCCCACGTTTCTGACACGTGACGACGATACACGACTTTTCACGCCCCATATCCAACTTCATCCTATCGTTTCTTCATTTTCGTTATCTCGCACGAATTCCTCTTCGCGGCGTACATCTCTCTCTCTCTCTCTCTCTCTCTCTCTTCCCCTCTCTTTCCCTCTCGTTCGACTCACGCGTTTGGAAACGAGCTCGTACGCAAAACGCGTCAACTCGCCGTTGTGCAAACACTCGATCCTTTTCGGAGTGGCACGCTTCGTTAGACGCGAGGCGTGAAAACGTCCCCGAAAGTGGGGTGGTTGCGAAGAGGAGAGGTAATTCCACGGTCTAAGAAGGACAAATAAAACGAGCTCGAGCCCGGAATTCTCGTATGATCACGTGCGAAAATACGGTGCAAACATCGTTGCTTCGTTTTTAATTAAATGAAACCTTCCTCGCGCCTTCCTTTCCCTTTTCCCATCGTTCGTGAATCCCTCTCTGTCTCTCTCTCGCTCCATCCATCCGATACGATCCTCTTCTCTCGAAAGATGAAAAATTCGTCCCCAAAAGGAAGATTTTAATTCGAGTATACCATGTGTTCCAAAATGATACAATTACGATGTTTCATATTCCACGTAATATTCGTTCATTCACTTGTATTATTCCTTCGAAATAAAACGACCCAAGTATCGAGAAACTCGGTCTTACGCGCGATGGGATGTCAACGCGCGGAATTTTGAGGAGCGGAGAGAAGTAAACTCGCCGTTGAATTCGAATCTCTCCACAGTCGAGAGGAAAATGATTAAAGAAGAGAAAGAATTCGAGAGAGAGAGAGAGAGAGGATAAACAATGAAAACGAAGAAGAAGAGAATGTGTGAATCCCAACAGCCAATCCTCTACTCCTCCCGGCTAATTGAGCAACGATAACGCTCTCTTGATC